TAAGGAAACTATAGATATATGCACATTTTTTCTCATATTGCTCTACCACTATCTTATACATAGTCATTAATATATTTTTTAAGGATGTCAAAAGGTTATCTAATAGTTAGATGAAAGCATACAATTATTTATAAGTAGGAAACATCTATATCAGTTGTTTATTTTAGATGGGTAAAAAGTAGATCTAGTTAGGGTCGGTCCACTGGACACTAATCTTGCAAAAATAAATTGAAAATATATAGATGAAATCAAATAAGTAACATCATACTGCAGGGTGACACTGCATTTTTAAACTTTGAACGCTCTCATAATGACCTCCATTTGATCTGTCCACCCGTGCATTTGAGTTCACACAGTAGGAACAATTATGTAACGCCTTTTAAAGAAATGAGATATTCCCAGTGATGTTTTTCTGTTAAGGCTACAGACTTAAGTTTGGCATTCTAGCCATGGCCATCATCCCCTGGCCAAAAGTGTGGACAAACGAACCACTGAGAGCCTGCCAGCTCCTGGAGAGCTGCACTCTGGCTGACCGTGACCTCTGACCCCCTTAGAGGCAGCCTAATAACTGCTCTGCATTGGATAGTCTCTTCAAATTAGGGCTCTCTCAACTCAATGTTTGCATTTTGCTAAGATAGCATGAGGCATCTTTGAGAGAAATTCAAACAAGGTGGGAATCTTTATTTTGCAGTGTAAAATTGTATTAAACTTTTGATATCTCTTTTTTTATTGTCCGTTCTCATTTACAACATTACAGCTTTGTATACGTGTCCATGTTGTCTATTCCTGCCCACCTAAAAACTAAAAACCTAATACAAATATTGAAAAAATGAAGAAAATAAAACAGTAATATAAAAATGAACAATATAATAAAGAGAATAATATCAGAAACAATTATCCAAATAATAATGATAAATCAAATACAAATAATACATTCAAGTTATTATAATGCAAAAAATTATAAACTAGAAATATTTAGTTTAAACAAATCAGTGAAATGGATCCTAATATACTGTAACTAAAAACAGTCACGTAAAAAGGTACATTTTAGTCAATGTTCTCTATCGAAAATCTTTATTTAAATAAGGTTTAAAAAATAATAAAATACAGAGGAGTACACAGCTTTTGTGTTTCATATTATGTTAGAAATGGTTGCCATGTCTTTCGTGTGGAACCACCCAAAGCACATCATATTTAACTCACATTCCCAACATTTTGGGAAGGTCTTTCCCTTCTTTGCTATTTCCTGACAGAAAGCCAGGTTTATAAAGACCTTTTTTTTCCTTCCCAGTTTGGTGTGGAAGAATTTGATTGGCTTGCAGAGATATCACTGACCTTTAACACCTCTGGGATAAACCGTAACGTCACCTCCGAGTTGGCCTCATCGACCAACATCAGTGGCCCACCTCAATAATGCTGTTGTGGCTGAATTGGAGCAAATTCCTGCAGCCAGGTTCACAGGTTATATCCGCTTTGTGATGGCTTTTAGAGAAGATGTTCAACTATTTCATAGGGGTGTTATATCCGGGTGTACCCATCAATTTTAATGGACCTGCCTTTGGCTTAAAATGATAATAATCAACAACAAAAACGTAATCAAACCGGTAGTGCTTCTATATTGTAGCTCACATTCACACACTGCTCCTCAGCTGTTCTCTTAAACACTAATTTCCCTATGCTAGCAGTCAAATAATTCCATTCTCATTATACGGGACCAACTGTTTTTAAGCAGCAAACCTTGATGAAATTATTATTACGACCCATAATTGGATGAGGAATGAATGGTTCTTGGAAATACGATGGCCAGAAAAGCATCCCTCGCCGCTTTCCCTCCTCGACACCCCTCGCCCACTCTCCCCCACCCTGCCATTACCGCTCACTCTCACCCACCCACTGACGCTCTCCCTCCCACTCCCTCCTCCTCCTCCGAGCATTAGATGAGTGCGGCAGTCTAATTGCTTTCTTCAGGGAGAGAATTAGCATGAGCTGTCCTGAGTGCTCCGGTCTAATGCATAAAGAACAGGCAGCAAGGGCCCAAAAATGAGGGCCGGGGAATCACAGACACTGCCCCCATTAGCCAGCCACACTTTAAGTTGGGGGGACCAAACCTGCATCAAGTGGTCATACCTTAACAGGTGGTCAATGGTTACGTTTAGCGGGTGACTTGCAGCACCAACACCTCCATTTAAAAGACCGCTGAGCAAAATCTCCATATTGATGATCAGAGATGATGGAGGACCTGCATAAATCAACTTCTTTAAAGGACTCTACAGTTGATTAGAATGATTATATAGTTAATATATATAGTATACTATTAATATTTATATACATATAAATAGTGGAGAGAGGGTAAACGAGCAGATGTGTCTTTCTCAGTCCTTTCAGAACTATCAACATGTGACGGTTACAAACAAACTAATCAACACTTCAATGGTTAAATCTGCTTCATTTTAAGGTGTGATGAGGGCTTTTGCTATTTTTTCTGCCTCTTGCAAAGTCAAACAAATGGCAAAATCCTGTGTGCAGTTTTTGTAGAATTGGGGACGGGGTTTGTTGACTTAACGTCTGGACGTTTTGTCTCATTTATTTCAAGTCTAAAGGAAGTGGAAAGCAACCCTTATTGTGAGACCAACACATTTGGGCGTGTTGCCTATCATCAGGGTCATAGATGGTGCCAAAAGGCAAGATTTCATTGAATTCCTTTGGCTCTAGATTTGACCTTCTTATCGACTGCTTTCCCTCTCCTTGCACTCTGCACTTCTTGAATCACTTTTATAAAGATGACTTACAATGAAACCATTGCCTTGATGGTTAAAAAAAAACGTTGAGTTCTAGGAAACCAGAATTAATGGTACATGCTTTGGAAAGATATACCACATACTTTGTTTTCACCGTTGTTCAACCTTGTACTGGGGAAGAAGAGAGAGATATTATGACAATGGGAAGGGGTCTCTCGTCAGGAAAACATACAGATATTTTTTGTTGCTTTCGAATACATGACGGATTGTTGTTTTTGTGGTAAGGGCAGTCTGAGAATCTATTTGTCTGCTGTCTTGCCCTCTTTGATGATAACTCCCATGGTCCTCAGCAGCAGTCCTGCTTTTGTGAGTGTGTGCGGCTCAGATTTGTCCTGGTCCGGTGATTGGCTCTTGTTTTGACCAGAAGAAAAAAACACACTCAAAATAAAATGAAAGACGGGAACCATCACTGACTCACGTGTGTTACCGTGCCACAGTGTTCCCACTGTAAACCACGTGTTGTTTGTGTTTCTCAATCTTGTGGCTATCCCCAGTAGTAAATAACAGGAAAACCAAAAATGAAATTAGAATCTCAGTATGATCTCTTGTTATTTTGTTTGGCATGTTGGGGTTTTTTCAACTTAAAAAAATGTTTGACGGGATAGAGAAAACCAACATTTCCCCTTGTGGGATTGATATAGTGTGTCTTTTCTTCTTTCTTCATGTAAACTTATGTTGACAAAGAAATTTCTTAAAATCAAACTTAATTATAATTATTTCAGAACACAAGGCCAGCCATACTCTACCAAATCTTGTATTGAAAACGTCAAGTTATTTGCTGCTGAAACGTAAACGCATTAAATTAAATAACTTTTTAAACGTTCCTTTCCAGTGCTACCAAACGTGTCAGTTGTGTTAAGTGACCTCATATCCAGATTAGATTTGGTGTGTGTGTGTGTGTGTGTGTTGTGTGTGTGTGTGTGTGGTGTGTGTGGTGTGTGTGTGTGTGTGTGTGTGTGTGTGTGTGTGTGTGTGTGTGGTGTTGTGTGTGTGTGTGTGTGTGTGTGTGTGTGTGTGTGTGTGTGTGTGTGTGTGTGAGTGTGTTCGATACTGGGCTTGACGCTGTGCATGAAGCAGCAGCGAAGGACACTGGTATCCAAAGAGTCTTGAGCTGTTTGTTTTTCAATAACATGCCAGAACAGAGGGATGTCTGAGGGAAGGAGGATGACGGGAGGATAAATAACCTCAGGTATACGACATGCTTCCCAGTCCCTCTGGGCTTTACAACTTGACCTACCAATATATCTGACTCATGGACACCAGTCTTTGCCATTATATGTATGCTGTTGATAGGAAGCAGACAGGTG